AAAATGTTATCTCGAAATTTCGAGACGAGACGAGACAAGGCCTTATCTCGTCTCGTCTCGTCTCGCGGTAACTCTAGTTACCCACCGACAAAATTCCACACGTTTAGCATAATCTTTCGGGTGTAGAAACTGCACTCTTTGTAAATGGTATGGTGCTCGTGAAGTGTATGTATTACCCGTTTTTGGAAAATGTAAAATTGAGTAGCGATTCTTCTGTTGCTGGTCGTTGCATCTTCTTCCACTAGATCCAAAATATTTTCCACTTCTTCTAAAGTTTGTCGATCAGCTTTTTCAGATGTAATTTTAGCACTTGGAAGAGTTTCAGTCTCGCAAAGTTTGTTAAAAACTGGAATAAACACGTTTTTGTCAGGAGCCCTTTCACGTGGAAAACGTCGCCGATATTCTTCTACAGCAGCTGTGGCATTGCCATTACAAAAGCCATAAATTAGCATATTCTAAATTTGAATAAACTTTTGACGCTGAAAGTTAGGCCTTTTAAATGTAAACAATATGTATAACTATGGAATCAAAAACTTTGTTTCCATAGTTTTTCAAAGAACATTAGATAATAATTTATTTTTTAAAATTTCATTTTTAATCAAGTATACCCATATACCCTGTGTAATTGTTTTGCAAATCTATAAAATTGGTTGTGATGGACGAAAAATTAATCAGTCACATTTATATGACAAAAAAATTAGAGAATAATGCCCACTATAAACACCCAATTTTTACGAGAATACAGATAAGATATTGAGGATTAGAGAATATGGTTATTGCCATTATAAACGGGCCTAAGGTATGTTAATTATATATATGTATGTGTATATGTACCTGGTCGCCATATATAAAAAAATTAAAATGATTTTTGTAGCTAATTTTATGGTCTTGAAATTTAATTTTTTATTCAATTAAAAAAAACATTAAAAAAATTATTTTTAATTATTTTTTTTCTTATGTATCATATTAAATTCAAATAAAAACCAATTCGTTGCCAAACATTAAACCTTAAAGATGACGAAAACGTTTATTTTTTTATAGGACAATTTTTGTGCAGATTTATATGGGAAACTAATTTTATCATTACCAAAATTTACGTCAAATCAATAGTTGAGGAGATAATCGTAAGTAATATCATAAGGGCATTTAATTTTTCCGAAAAGAATCGAAAAAACACGTTGCTAAGTGATATTTTAACAAAAAGCATGAGTGCGGGTGGCAACAAAAATCCGAGTCGAAGAGGAGGATTTTTGCACCTGCACGAATGCTTTTTGTTAAAAAATATTACTTAGCATTGTGTTTTTTCGATTTTTTTTCACAGGAAAAATTAGATGCCCGAATGGTATTTGACAAGACTATTTCGATGATCATGAGTAACAGTTAACAATTAAAATATAAATTGCAATTTTTGGTGACAACAGCTGTCAAGTTTTGCCGCGGGTAAACTCGAAAAAACTGCTGACAGGTGCTGTCACACAGTTTTTTCACCTAGAAACCATTTGTAATTCAAAATTGCGCGTTTGTGATTGATGGAAATTAAGACGAGGGAAATAGTCGTAAGTAATATCATAAGGGCATCTAATTTTTCCGAAAAAAATCGAAAAAACACGTTGCTAAGTAATATTTTAACAAGAAGCATGAGTGCTGGTGGCAACAAAAATCCGAGTCGAAGAGGAGGATTTTTGCACCTGCACGAATGCATTTAAAATGCAAAATTTGTTAAAAAATATTACTTAGCATTGTGTTTTTTCGATTTTTTTCACAGGAAAAATTAGATGCCCGAATGGTATTTGACAAGACTATTTCATGAGTATCTAACAGTTAACAATTAAAATATAAATTGCAATTTTTGGTGACAACAGCTGTCAAGTTTTGCCTGCTGTTGTCACACAGTTTTTTCACCTAGAAACCATTTGTAATTCAAAATTGCGCGTTTGTGATTGGTGGAAATTAAGACGAGTGAAATAGTCGATAACAACTTTTTTGTAACCTTTGACCTTAGATATTTGGCAACGCGTTGCAACGCCAGTGCGGCACGATTTCGCTTGGGACTTTTGAGACATTATTACTAGTGTTTATACAAACAAAATTTTGAAGAAAAATCTTACCTAGGATTTTTTTCAAAGAAAAACCCTAGGCTAAATAGCAGAAAATTGAAACAAAAAATTGTCTAAAATTACGAAAAAAAATGTCACTGTTTTTTATTTATAGCTTAAAAACGCTTTGGCCGATTTTATTAAAATTTATATGGTTTATTAAATAATACCTAAATGATTCAAGGATAATAAACAATCACAAGTTCCTCTAGCTTAAAAATTTGCCATGAGTTTTAATTTCCCAAGTGTCAAAAATTTTAGAAATATTCAGGGCCCCGACCAAATTTGGCCCCAGGGCCTCAAAACTCTTAATCCGGCCCTGTATGTACATAAAATATATTATATTGTGTATTTGTACACTTTGTAAAAACAAAAAATATGTATGTCGACTGTTTTTACAAATTGAAAATGATGGTCATTAAAATACATGTGCACCTTCTAAAAAAGTTTTTCATAAAACTTTTTTTACCCTCGAACGACATTAATAGTATATTAAAGTACAAGTTGCAGAAGGCCACATATTCTCGCACGAATTCGAAATTTGGCCTCGAGCGACGAAGGAGCGAGTGGACGAACGAATGAGTGCGAGAATAGCCTTCTGCAACGTGTGATTTATACTATTTTCTCGATTTTAACTTTTATTTAGGTTTTTTTAATTGTTTTGTGGTCGTTGTTAGTTAGGGGATTTTTCTCGCAAAATGTCAGTTGGCAACACAAAATGACAATATTTGTTATCCTGCACAAGTACAACCTGAACTGCACTTTTACACATTAAACTTAAAATTTTGCATTAAAATGCATTGTTGGAGCAAACTTTATATTACAAAACAATAATAAAGGCTTCATTTTCAATAAAAGTAATGAATTTGAGGTTATTAATCAGTTTGACATTTTGGGGGTACCAATACTTAAAAACTAAATGTTACCAAAAATCGTTTAAGAATGAGCTTCATTCTTCAACGATTTTGCGTGCGAGAATATGACATTCTTACATAAAAATCGAGAAAATACATTTTTTATTAAATTTCGAATTTTTAGAAAAATTAACTGATTAATACCTTTTGAGTTCTTCTATATTTCATTTTAAATTTGTTTTGATTAGAAACAAAATTTAATTGAGTAATTAATTTAAGAATAAATAAAATTTACTTATATAAATTACAAAACAGCAAAAACTTAAATAAAATTTAAAAAATAATTTTTCCTTAAATATTATTTTTATTATTATTATAATAGTATAATTATTATAGTATTATACTATATAGGGTTTTTTGTATTGGAAGAACTACAAGGTCGTTTAACTAGAGAAAAGCTGCGTAATTGCAAGCATAATAAAATGAAATTAATAAATTGAAAAAAACAGCGGTTCTCAAAATATTTGAAATAACTTAAAAATCTTTTGAAACCAAAAATCGTTTAAATATAAACATAAACATTAATCTACATTTTCATCCAATTTCTTTGCTACTATATTTTGAGTTGCCATCACATCTTTTGTTTTTATAATTATGTAGTTTAGTTTATAATTATGTAGTTTACATCGTTGGATTCCTTGATTTTTCTTCTATCTGACGATGTAAAATTCCAATTTAAATACTAATGCCTAAGGACGTAAATAATAAATTCATTATTCCTGTTGTTAGACGGAGAATTTATAATGGTTATAATTATATAGTGTAAAATGCACTAATTATTTAACTGTATAGCTTAATATTACTGTACATAACTCTATATTACATTATTTTACAGTGTAATAATAACGTAACTCTAAAAATATTATATTTTTTACTCGAATGTGTAATACAATCACATTAGTGTTAATTTAGACACTATAAATTAGTATTTTACAACCGCCATTTGCGTTAAAATTTCCCTAGTTTTCCTCTTGCTAGTGTATTATTGTTTTGGATTAGAACAAAGTAAACAGTAAGCGAGTATATTTAGTTTAGTGCTGTTTCCAAGGGCTGTTTAATGGTTCGCTTGTGCGTGGTTGCTGCTGCATAATACGTATAAAATAGGTACATTATTATTATTATTTATATTAAAGATATTTTATTGTAAAAACTTGAAATGTAATTAGGCATTATGTCTAAAAACCGATAACAGAAACGAGCCAATTATATACAAATCCCATTCAAAATGGATGCATTGATTTGTAATTTTTACTCGATTTTAATGTAAAGTTTACTAATGAGAGTAAAAAAGGTATGCATATTAACTAAAAATAGAGTAGTTTGATTTCTCTAAAAGATTAAATAACTCACTAATAAGGGTCTAAATGTTATAAAAATAGTGCAAAATAATAATCTAATTAACAAAACTATTTTTTCCCGGGTCACTACCCAGAGTACCCTTAACACACAGTAGTGTTGCACTAGTAAATTAAATGTAACACTAAATACCGTTATAATATTTACCCTATAGGGTTCTATAGAAATATGAATTATTACACTATCATCATTGTGAATATATAAGTCTAAAAAAAGTCGTCGCATATAGAATGTTTTTAGAGTTTACTAGAGTTAAATATAGAATGTTTTTAGAGTTTACTAGAGTTAAATATCTTCACTACTTTTTTTACTGTGTAGAGATTAAAAAATAGCTAAAATTTTTTTTTCGCAAATCAATAAATTTGTCACATTACTGCTTTTTCCCCGAGATCTTCCATATTAAAAATATATTTTATACCCAAGAATAAGTAATACCATTACTCAATGGTAATACTAAAAAACATTTAAAAAATTGTTTAACATTTTAAACCAAAATAAAGAGAAAGTATAATAACATGTAAATACTGCAATATTTACAGTATCGAACGTCAATAAATACCTTTAAAGATTTGTATTTATTTAATAAACTGATTTGCTCTTAAGATAAGATTGTAAACTTTTGATTAATTAATCAAGACATTGTGGTTTCAAGTACTGTCTTATCAGTATTGTTCTATTTCGTTGAAACTCGCATACAATTTATTATTATGAAAATCATGTGACAAGAGTTTGTGAGACCAGCAGCTACGGGCAACGTTAGTATTCTCAGTCAAGGTGCGTGTAATCCACGGATTTAACATAAGCTGTTCAATTGGATAAGGTTTGATTATATTTAATTTTACATCAAATATTAATCCCTAAATTAACCCAAACCCTTAATAACCCGACAATTATTTATTTATAAATTAAACTAGCTTTACATTTTTTTCTTTCGTTCTAAATTTTACATTATAAAGTGGACGGCTCGAATTATTGTCCATTAAATTTAATAACGCTGAACCTAAATAGTTTTTAAATTGTTAAATTGACTTAGTTTGTGCTGTGTGTAGATGTTGTTGGAAAATATTTAAATTTTTGGGTGTTGTTTGGTGCTCGTGATGCGCCTCGTGATTTCGAATAGTAAACAGCGTTTCATGGTTATTTGCAATTTAATTAAGCAAAATTAATGTTTATTATTAGTTTCTCCTTCAATAAAGCCTTGCTTTTTTATGTAACCTAAATAATTGTTAGTTCCTTAATATTATATACTTTGGCTTATTTCATGACTAAAAATTCATATAAACATTAGACTGGGCCAAAAAAATAATTTTTTTAAGTAAATCTAAAATAATATTTGGGGTGAAAAAAAATTAAGGTAAAAGTTTGAGTCCGAAATATTAATATTAAAAGGTTTAAGAATTTTTTTCCTGAGCGAGTTTTTGTCTCAGAACTCCCAAACCATTGAGTTTTATAAAATTGTCTTGGGGATCTTTTTTGAAGAAAATTGAATGCTCTACAAAAAGGTTTGGAATTTTCCGTCAGATTAACTGTTTTCTTACAATCATGCCTTCAAAATTGGTATAGTTTTCCATTTGATTTTTTAACTTTGGAATTTTGTAATTCATGTAAAAATCAGTACCCGGAAAAACAGATAGATATTCTTATGGGAAATCAAATGCTCTACAAAAAAAGTCTTCTAACATTTTTGGCTAAATTCACTCGATCAAAAGTTATTCAAGGTTAAATTTGAAGTCTTCTTGTTTTTTCCGCTCTAGATTTTTTTTTGGGTCAGTTAAAAACTTGAATTATTTTATCGATAATAATATGTATTTATGTTATTGATAAAATTACTGAAATTTAAAAAAAAATAACATTTTTTCGCTTTAAGAAGCTATTTTCTTTAGAAAATATTATTTTTACTGTTACCTATTTAATCGTTTAAATAATAAATAACAATCATGTTGTTTTTTTATTGGAAATTGTTAATTAGTTATATAATACACATTTATAAAGAAAGAAATGAAATTATCAACCATAAAAAAATAAATCTACCGAGGAAAAAACAAGAATTTCGTTTTGACTTCAACTTAAACCTTGAATAACTTTTGATTGAGTGAATTTAGCCAAAAATGTTAAGAGGCTTTTTTTGTAAAGCATTTGATTTCCCATAAGAATATTCATCGTTTTTCTTTTGATTTTTACATGAATTACAAAATTCCAAAGTTAAAAGATCAAAATGTAAAACTATATCAATTTTTAAGGCATGATTTTAAGGAAACGGTTTATCTGACGGAAAATTTCATTTTAACCTTTTTTGTAGAGCATTTAATTTTCTTAAATACATATTTCCATGTTTTTTGTTAAACTCAATGGTTTCGGAGTTCTGAGACAAAAACTTACTGAGGGAAAAAAATTGCGATGATAGACCTCTTAATATTAATATTATGGACTCTTATGAACTTTCACAATATTTTTTTTTGTCACCCCAAACCATATTTTCGATATACTTTTCAAAAAAAAAAATAGTAGATTTTTTTGGCCCAGTCTAATAAACATAGGTCCGCAAACGTTTCGTTACCGATCTACAGGGTGTTGAAATTTGAAAAAAATTTTAGTTTTTTCTATATGTATAGCTCCTGCAGTTTTTGAGATATTTTGCTCAAATTTGACATATAGGTTACGCTCTAGGGTTTACATTCTTGGGCATGCCAAATGATTGTTATATAGAATCTATATGGAGATATTTTTTCAGGGATCATGCCCCCTTTTCTTCCCCTGAATTGTTTTGCGGTTCGCCGCTTATAGATTAAGATACAAAATTAACGTTCTGTATTGTTTAGAAACTATTTGGTTTCCTGTAGTTTTTTCCTAATTGCGACCGTTTTCGAGAAAAAAATAAAAAACCGTTTTAAATTAATAATAAATAAATAAATAAATTTTAGCTAAATATCTAAAGACCTGCATAAAGAAAAAATCTTGAAATTAACGAATTTCTGAGTTTTTAGTCATTAAATAAGCCAAAGGATTACCCCTCGTTCATATTTAGGAACACCCCGTATACCAACAATGTTATCCATGTAGGTATTAGGTGTTTAGTCTTTTTATTTTTGAGGCGGTTCTGTTTGTGAAAAAGAATATAGATTTGTTTGAAGTATATGAAAAAGGGCATTGTTATGAAACGAGATGTAAATCAAATTATTCAGATAATAAACTAAATTTTACTTATCATCAGATAATATAATATTCAAAATACTATAGATAAGGTTTTTAACAAGCTACCAGAACAGTTAAGTTTTAATTTATTAAAAAAGTTAAAATCAAATTAAAATCAATTTTAATAGATAAATCCTATTACTCAATGGAGAAATATTTTAATGATGATCTTCATCAATATTTTTTGTAATGTTGTGTTTAGTAGTGTATAAAACACATTTATTTATTTATTTATTATTTGTCTTTCTCTTTTAAATTGTATTATTCATTTTTAATTTATGTTAAGTACTTATCTATATTTGACGTGTTTTACACTTTCTGGTATTTTTAAACAAATAAAGATTATTATTATTATTATTAGTAAGTATTGATTTTTGAATAACTACCGTTATGCAATATTCAATAGTACTTACAAGATAATAATAATAATAATAATAATAATAATAATAGTTTATTAATCCAACAGACAAAGTCTAAATAAAGGATATATATTTTTTACAATATGCAGTATAACACAACATTAAATAAACAATATAAAATAATGAAAAAAAGATAAAAGTAAAATTATAATTTGTTACGCTATTGCTCTAATTCTATTAACAAACTGATTTAATGATAAAACGCACATGTCACAATTATCTTCAATTTGATTATATAATCGACACATTGATCTTAGCGGGGCATGCATGCCCTGATTAGTATTAGATGCTTGAACATAAAAAGTCTGTCGAAATCTAGAATTAACTCTTGGTACAAAAAAGTTGACTTTTTGTAACTGTTTGGAATCAAATATGACTCCATTAATTAGTTTATACAAGTAAATCAGCTGAGCATTTCTTCTTCTTATTTCCAGACTTTCCATGTCAAAGCAAATTAACGCACTTACATAGTCAAAATTGTATAAGGGATAATATCCATAAATTAGATAACATAAATATCTGCAAAATTTTCTTTGTAGTCTTTCAATGCTATCAATATATACATTGTAATATGGTGACCATATAATGCAGGCATATTCAAGTTTGCTTCGTACATAAGCGTTGAAGAGACATTTTAATGAATCTATATTTTTAAAATCCTTAGTGTTTCTAATTATAAAACCCAAGGATTTATTTGCCGCTGATATTGTGGAATTAATGTGAGTAGCAAACGACAAGGTGGAATCAAAAATAACTCCTAAATCCTTAATAGTAAGTACCTTTTTTATTGGAACACTGTTTATTGTATAACTGAAATCAATGTTGTTAACTTTTCTCGTAAATGTCATTACATTACATTTCTGTATATTTAAATATAAATGATTTCTGTTACACCAATCAGACAATGTGTCCAAATCTTTCTGCAGGCTTTGGCAGTCATTGATGTTACAAACAGGTTTGGCTAATTTGAAATCGTCTGCGTAAAGAAGGTTGTCTGAGCAAATATTATTTGTAATATCATTGACAAACATTAAAAACATTAGAGGCCCTAAGTTGCTGCCTTGAGTTACACCACTAGTCGCGCAGTACACATCTGATTTACAATTTTTGTGCTCGACAAATTGATATCTATCCAATAGGTAAGATTTAAATAGTTTTATCATTCTGTTACTAAAACCAAATGTGCGTAGTTTATTTAAAAATATATTGTGTGGTATTTTGTCAAATGCTTTTGTAAAATCAGTGTATACTACGTCGACTTGAAGTTTTTTCTCAAGGTTATCAGAAATAAATTCAGTAAAATTACAAAGATTCGTTACAGTGGACCGACCCTTGACAAAACCATGTTGGGAATCACTAATTAAAGGAGAAATATGAAAGTTTATATATTTTGTCAAAATAGTCTCAAAAATTTTGGCAAAATTACAAATAATTGCTATGGGGCGATAATTCTCTACAATACTTTTTTCTCCTGATTTAAAAATAGGTGTTATTCTAGAGGTTTTCCACTTTGCTGGAAATTCACAATTTTGTAAGATTAGGTTAAAAATATACATTAAAGGGTGGCACAAATATTGAATACATTCTTTCACAAAAAATGCAGGAACATTATCAGGTCCAGTTGTGAAGTTGGTTTTGATGTTTTTTGTAGCGCACAGTATATCGGATACACTTATATTAAACAGGTCAAAAACTCTTGAAACATTTATGCACACATCACTATCAGAATAAGAATTATTTTGTTTTACAAATACTTGACTGAAGTATTCTGAAAAGGCATTCACTATTTGTTTCTCTGTGGTACATCTTCTACCGTTAAAGGACATTTCTCCGGGTATTCTGCTCGCACTTCTTTTACTGTTGATGAAATTCCAAAGCTGTTTTGGATCTGTTTTAATGTTACTTTCTGTTTTTGCTACAAATTGTTTATAACTGATTTTAATATCAGATTTGACATTTCTACGCATTTCAATGAATTTTTCTTTGTAGAAAAGGCGTTTAGTTTTTTTAAACATGCGAAAATAGTGACCCTTTAGTTGAATATTTTTTATGATTTTGTTTGTGAACCAAGGAGGATAATAACGACCATTTTTTTTACAGTCTTTTGGAACATGCTTATCAAATTCATCATATATACCCTCATAAAATATTTTACAGGCATTATTTATATCTGTAGTTGCATATAATTCTGACCAATCTAAATTTTCAATCGCGGAATATAATACAGGAAGATTTGCTTTTTTGAAATTATATTTTAGTATGTTTGTCTCGGGAAAGTTTGTTTGGGTATCATTTTCTATTGCTAGTTCGATATTAAGTGCGGGGTGATGATAATCTTCATTCACTAGAGGATCGATTGAGGGCTCGATATTGCACAAAATTGTTGGTGAAGTAATAAAAAGATCCAAAATTCTATTGTTAACGTTTGTATTAAAATTATTTTGACTAAGTTGACAAAAATCCATAAACTGCTGAAGTTGGTTTGTAGATGTTGTTGAGTTTTGACTTTGATAGCATTCATTGAGCTCAGGGATGTTAAAGTCACCCGACACGATATTGTGTCTATTTGGATCTAATATACTTTCCAAAGATTCGTAGATCAATAAATAATCCGAGGTTGATGTGGCGGGTGGTATATAAAGTGTATAAATATTTATTTGTGCATCGTTATATATTATTTTTGCTGCTACAATATCTACATCTTGAATCGGAAAATTTAATTGAATTTGTTGGCAGTTTAGTTCAGTTTTTGCTGCGATTAAAACACCTCCACCTCTGGTCCCTTTTCTATCGGTTCTTATCACAGTATAGTTAAGATTAAACAATTCATTATTAAATACACCATCTTTTAACCAGGTTTCAGTTAACATTATTAAATCAAAATTACAAGTACATATATTGTTATAAAATAAATCAGTTTTAGTATTAAGCCCTCTAACATTTTGATAATAACAATAAATTTTATTTCTTTGCTGTTGGATTCTTACTTGTTTTTTGACTTAGTTATTTTAGGGATACCACTGTAGTAAACTAATTGGATATCCTCAGTACTTTTACGAGTCTCAAATTCGCTTAGTATATTTTTTTTGTACTCTCTTTGTCGAATTGTTAGGTCATGTCCTATATATATTCCGTTAAACTCAGTATTTTCGCGAAGTTTTTTACCATTTTGCTTTAAAAATTCTGCATCATTTTTTGACTGTAGAATTATTTTTAAGGGTCTGGACTTATTATTTTGTTGGTTTATTTTTCCCAACCTAAATTTTTTAATGTTAACAAGATTTACTTCAGGCTTAATAAATGCTAAGATGTTATCTGGGTTTTCGTACTGTTCTGGTAGATTATAAAGAATAATGTTATTTTCACGCCGGCGAATATCGTTACATTCTTCAATAACTTCTTGAAATGTAAAGTTATTCTTTGTTGATTGCGAATTAGAAATTGATGTTTTCAGTTCCTTAACTTCATTTTGGAGTTCTTGTATAATGTTTTTAAGCGACAAGATATCATTTCCAAAGACAGTACAAGCATTGCACAACCATTTTATGGCGGGTTTGGATCTTAATACTTTTACATCAGTGTTGGATAAATCAACACAAGACATATTAAAATTGTTTTTACATATCGAACAACTAACGATGCACTTTTGATCGAAATCAGCACTACAACATTTGCATATCACCATGTTTGGGACCAGTAGTGAAACTAATGTGCAGCTTTTTAATATGTGACAAAAAAACACTATGTATTATACTTGTGTTCTCGAATTTAGATTATTATGCAAATATCTATTTAATATAACAGTATTATTACATAAACATCCACAAATATAGCTTGGTACTCACTGTTTCATATGACACCATACTAATTTTTTAAAAGTTATCACCATTTCACTTAGATTTTAATAAATAATGTAGGAGCTTAGTTAAACTGTACTGCACACAATAAAAGGTTATACTCAAATGGTAGCATTATTATATTATTAGTTGTTCTAATCTAATCATAGACCTAAGAAATTTAGAAAATTGGCTAATAAACAGTTCTTTTCATTTCAATTACTGAATATTACCGTTCTTATATCACTTTTTAATGTGGAAGTACCTACATTCTATAAGGTGTTACATAATATTCTCACCGGTTTCAGTGTGAGAATTATTTGGACCAATCGGGTAGTTGAAAACAAATTTATTCAAAAATCATAATAGTAGCCTTCGTAAAAAGCTAACTTTTATAACCTCACTTGTTCCTACTTAAAATTTGTTTATTTAGTTTTTCAAAACCGTAAAAAGTATAGTCTCTAGCGGAATATGCTGTATTTACAAACTTGTTACAATATATACTATTATTACATTGTATGCATTTAAAAAGAAAAGTTTATGGTTTAATTATGTCTTATTTTTGTAAAAAAGCGTAGTAGGCTTTTTTTAATTTATAAAAATAGAGTTTTAGAAACATAAAATTATATAATATAATATAATAATACCAAGAAAGAAGATCATATCACATGGCGCGTAGCAGGGTTATAATTTACAACCGTAGTTTACATAGTAGGAATGTCACAAAGGTCATTTTGAGTTTTTAAGTTTATAATTATTATTATATAGTATATACAATAGGGACCGAGGATGGCGCAGTGGGTTGAGCTACAGAGCTGTACTTATTTATTTTTTTTATATTTTGTAATTATTTAATTGGAAAATAAATTAATTTTGATATTGATTTTAATTTTGACAGAGCTGTAAACAATCTGCGTCTAACGGCACCGGGTTCGATTCCCGGTCACAGCCTTGGGTGTTGTAGTTGTTTATTAAACAAAAATAAAAATACATCATGAGCTGGCCAAGTAGTCTGGAAAGACTAATAGCCAATAAATCTAAAATCAATACTAATATACAAACCATATATGGTTTATTTTTTACATCATTTCTTTAATTAATTATAATTTATAATTATTATTAATACTATTTTTAATTTTTTAAAAAAAAATTGCTAAATATTTTTTTTTTACAGACTTAAAAAATAGAAACATGGGGGCCATGTTTCGAAGTGAAGAGATGGCCTTGGCCCAACTCTTCATACAACCAGAAGCTGCCTATTATTCGGTTTCAGAATTGGGAGAGACTGGATGCGTGCAATTTAGAGATGTAAGTAAACATTTAATTTATATTTTCTCAAAAATACTGCCAAAACGCTATACGCAGAGATCAAAGAAACGGCTTAAGAATGAAGTATTTTGGACCAATATATTTCTGTTTTTTTTTTAAATAATTAACAATTGTTTTCTCTAGAATTACCTACATACAGCCTGTTTAGAATAAAACCGAATATATCTATATATATATGGGGCGTGGCCTCGCCTCCCTCCAAGGCGCGTCACAGTTGCTTGTGTAATAAACGACATGACGAAAGGTCGAGCAGGTAAAAACTTAAAAAATTAAATGATAATAATGCAAAAAATCTTATTAGCGATGCAGTCTATTTGCTTAGCTACTGTGTCGCGCGTTGGAGGGAGGCGAGGCCACGCCCCATATATATATATATAGATATATTCGGTTTTAGTATGAAAGAGCTGTATATTTGTATTAAGTGGTGGTATTTATATTAGCTAATGCAGGTACCAGTTAATAAAAATGTACTAATTTTGAAGAAGCTACTGTGTAGCGAAACAATTGTTAATTATTTAAAAAACATGAATAAATTAGTAAAACTTTAAGACAGTGTTGGCAAAGATAAGATATTATCTTTGAGTGTTGGTTTTATTCATATAAATAATATGGAGTTTCATCAAGGAAATTTCATCACCAAAGACCAAATGTCTAAAAATAGGCCTCAACCGCCTAAAATAAAACAACACGATTAAACATAACATTTATTTAGGTTCAATAAAAATAAAACAAAAAACACATAATAAAAATAATATCACAAACCGTTTTAAAGATATCAGCGATCAAAAATAACACTAATAAAAAATTTCAAATATTTTCAAATAAAATACAAAAAAATATCATATGCCATATTTATATTATTTTTTATGTAAAATCACTTTAATTCTGTTAACCTGAGACTGTAAACTTTTTTTATGTATATATGACATATTATATGTAAATGTATAATATACATATATAAGTATATATATATTATATATGTACCTTATTTAATTTATATAAATAACAGAATTAAAGTGATTTTATATAAAAAATAATATAAATATGGCATATTATATTTTTTTGTATTTTATTTAAAAATATTTGAAATTTTTTATTAGTGTTATTTTTGATCGCTGATATCTTTGAAACGGTTGACCTGAAGAACTTTGATCAGATGTTTTTGTAGAGCGTGAAATTGTCTATAAAAAAGTATTTACCACCTGTAAATTGTGGAGTTATTTAATTATGCTATAGATTGCGACAAATTATACTACTAAAAACTGTTAAAAAGTCTAAAATTACCATATATGTAATACATATATGGAAATCACAGTAAAACCTATGAAAACAAAGTAAATAATATTTTTTAACCATTATTTTACAAATAGTTCAAAGCACTCTAGATTGATCTTTATTGTGATGAAACGTCAAAAGGTCAATTTGAGGATGCTGTCTGACTCTTTCTCAGGTTTTCAAATATGTAAAAATATATAGGGCATTCCATTTAAAAATCGAAAGTTGATATCATTTCCGGCGAAACCGGAAGTTCAAAAAATTCATTTTGTACTCGATACTAACTGGCATTTTATATCCTACACTGAAAGAAATATATACTAAAGTTAAATAAAAAAATAATTAGGCCAAATATATTTTATGTTTCATATATAGACTACCACATACATTGCTAAAACAAATATATTCGTTTGGTTAGCAGCCTATTGCTGCCCTAGCAATATAAATGGTGTTTCTAGCAATATTTTTTTGCTGTAATTCACTTATAGTTTACATTTTATAGTAAGGGTAAGTTTATTTTTATTTAGATCTAACATATCTTCTTTACAATAAATGTATTACAAAATTTACCATACATTCATAATAAACAGTAGTATAAATGTGTAAAGCACTAGTATAAAATTTTTAGTATAAATTTGTATTTACTTTTAGCAACAAATTTCTTTCAGTGTAATTAACCATGCTAAATTTCATGTGTCTATCTTTATAAATAAAAAAGTTACAGGGGTGCGCCTATTCTCAGATACACCCGGTATAGGGCCCCGTCTAGTGGTAAAATATTTTTTAAGGAAAAAATTTACATTTAAAGTTATTTATTACAAACAAAATAAAACATTTTTTTAATAAAAACCTTAAATGTAAATAAATATTTAAAAAAAACATACCTATTTTATCTATAAATCTTATAAGATACTACTGTTAATATAGCATGAAATTAATCAATATTTATATCAATAATAATATTATTGATATAAATATTGATCAATTTTAATTTATTTCCTACCATTGTACAAAAGTTTTTTTCACTTCTCAGCCTTATGACATAAGTATTTGATTATCTCCTAGGCCATAAGAATAATTTAGACAAATCAGCTGAAGTTTTTATGAATAACTATTTTTATATACAGTTTTTTATTTTTACTGTAAAATTGTATTAAAAAATTAAAAAATTTAGTTATGCGGCATTTTAGTATCGCCGACGAAAGATATACATTTTCATATCTTAAGTACAGTCCATAACTTCAGGACGATATTTAAAAAAAACTTCATATAAACATATTATTAAAATGCTTTCTTACTTCCTTACTGGCAGCGTGTCAAAAATTGTGTTATTTAATTTTTCGAAAAAACTGGAAAAAATCATACTTGTGTTTTTTGGCGCTGAATTCAATTACAATTACCATTTGGGTTTTCCATATTTAAAAAAAATTATATAAACATAATTTGTGGTAAAATGCTTTCTTACTCGGACACAGAGTATCAACAATTAAATCTAAAGAAACTTGTGGTTTTTAGCGTTAAATCCAAATATGCTGTAAAAATTTGAAAGTTATTTTTTGAGAAAAGACCGTTTTAAAATTCTTTAACTATTGTGTGAAGTCAATAAAATCCATGGTTTTCGAGAACGTGAAAAATGCTTGAAAGCTTTGTTTCTTTGTAAAATTTAAAATAAAAAAGTTAAAAATTACATAAAATGTATTAGTTAAAATAAAAAAAAATGTGTATATCAGTAACAAATCTGTTTACATCAACTTCATAGAATATCTTCAGGAATTGAATTCTGAAGTTACGGACCGTTTGTAAAATATGCACTTATATGTTATTATTAATTATTTTATTTCAGTTAAATGAACATATAAATGCATTCCAAAAGAAATTCGTAAACGAAGTAAGAAGATGCGACGAAATGGAAAGAAAATTGCGTTACATCGAATCAGAAGTAAAAAAAGACAACGTAAACATTCCCGATGTAACCGAGTTACCAAAAGCTCCAATTCCAAGAGAAATTATCAATTTAGAAGTAAGTCGTTTAAACTCCTTTTAAGGTACCTATCTCCAAAAGTATAACATGATTGTTATCAAATATGATGAGGTATCCAACTAACTATAAAATAATCGTGTTTAGGCTCACTTAGAAAAAACCGAAGGAGACATCAAGGAGCTCTCCGAAAGTGCTATAAACTTGAAGGTAAACTATCTAGACCTCACAGAGTTAAAACACGTTTTGGAGAAAACACAAACTTTCTTCAACGAGCAAGAGGAGGTAAACGGTATGGATACGAGCCACACCAGAGCTTTAATCACTGAAGATGCCCAAAACATCTCCATTAGAGGCAGGCTTGGCTTTATCGCTGGGGTTATCAGCAGAGAAAAAGTTCCGCCTTTCGAAAGAATGTTGTGGAGAATTTCCAGAGGAAATGTATTCTTGAGGCAAGCTGAAATCGCTAAGCCCTTGGAAGACCCAAATACAGTAAGTGTAAAAAAAATTAGGAACAGGTTTCTATGTAGCCATTTTTTTCTACAAAAAAATTTATTTACTCAAGATTCTATTCCTTATATTTCACTTAGTAAAATATGTGTATTACTACAATTGACGCGTTTCTCGGAAAAACATCATTAGTCCAAAATTAACATATTGGGGAAAATGAAAAAAACTCTCTGACATTCCCATTTTTGACCAAAGTACTTTATTGACCTATTTACTACATGTAAAAAAAATTAAAATACTTTGTCCAGAATTCCTCATGTTTTTTTTTCAAACGAATATGAAAAAAACACAAAAAATACATGAACATGTGAGGTTTTTAGAAGAAAAAAACAAACAATTGTCCTTACTACAAACCCTACAAACTAAATATTAACTCTGAGTAACAAAATAAATGAAAAAACTAAAAACTGTATTACTGCCACTCTCAGTCTTCGCATCCACTGCTGTTATCATCGTTGTCGACCGTGTTATCAGGACTGTTAGGTGCTATGGTCTTCTGGTCTTTTATCAAGTTATCATAAAATTTTCTATTGCTGTAATCATGTAAAAGAAGTAGAAGATTTTCTAGAATGTACAAAAACGTCACATGTTATGCACTGGTGGCTTTCTTAGACGAAACGGAGTGGACTTGTGATGTTTTTAGAAGAACAAGCTAAATTTCATATTTAATTATTATGGAACCTATGACATTTTTACGAGAAACACTTATTTGTATACGTATATATGGAGGTTAGGAAACAGTTGGTGCTAATATCTAAATTTCGACGATATTGGACTAATGATGTTTTTCCGAGAAACGCCTCAATTGCACTAAACCAATGGCAATGCGTACAATTTTCTTGTACCCTTAATTTCCTACAAAATAAACACAATTTAATTGTATAATTAATAAAACTTAAAATCTTATACTTGCTGAAAGTATCCTACATATGTATGGGTATCTTTTTATTTCAAGAGCTACGAGGTCAATTACAAAAAAAGTTGCGTAATTAAATAAGCATTTTAAAATTGAAAAACAAATCTGCGGTTCTTAAATATTTTCTTTAATTTATAAATACGTTTGATATTCCATTTTTTACACATGTTCCGTAAATTGCGCACTAAGGTCATACCCAAAGATAATACCCCCATTATCTTTGGTCATACCAAGTGATAGTAAAAGGGGGAGATATAGTATAAAAATAATATAACCTTTTATTTTTTAATATTAAAAATTGGAAATTTCACTGAATTTTGATTTAAGCAATTTAACATTAACATAAAAATGTTACAGCTGTTACACTAGTGAAACGAACGATTATGAAACATCTACAAACTGCTTTTTTGTTTTATAAATTATGATTATAATTATTATTTGGCGGCTGGTGGATTTTGGGCACACCCATATCTCAGTTATTAGACATGGGACCCACATCAAATTTATATGAGTTTACAATGACATTATATAGATAAGTTCTGCGCAAGCAGAATTTAAATTGAAGTTTGCGAAAAAATTAGTTTTTAAGTACACGTGTGCCCCCCAGCCTCCTGCCCCCCCAAATTAAGATAATTCAAATTAAAGTGGTACAATATTGAATTCACTGCAGTTTATCGACAAATTTAAAATTTTATTAAAAAATTTCAAGAATTACAGGTTTTATACCTTTTTTAAATTTTTATTATTTCTTCTACTAAATTTAAACAAAAATAGAAATGGTATAAAATCTGTAATAATTGAATTTTTCTAATAAAATTTGAAATTTATCGATAAACTTTAGTGAATTAAATATTGTACCACTTTAATTTGAATTATCTTAATTTGGGGGGGCAGGAGGCTGGGGGCACACTTAAAAACTAACTTTTTTTCGCAAACTTCAATTTGAATTCTGCTTGCGCAGAACTTGTCTATATAATGTCATTATAAACTCATAAAAATTTTATGTGGGTCCCATGTCTAATAAATGAGATATATGGGTGTGCCCAAAATCCACCAGCCTCCACTGATTTTTATACTACCATACTTTAATTCGTTCTTCCTGTACAATACTGAGATCCATTTTGATACAAATTGTTCATTGCCATACAAATTTCAAACCAATAATATTAAACAATATAAATGCGATACACGGCAATTCTCTCAATATCAATTATTGCCTTTGCTGACATTTGACAGATCTATTATTTATCAATTTTGACGTTACTTTTATTATCTATGACTTTTACCTAGAAAATTTAAAACTAATAAACATTTGCGATAGAGAATGTAAAATTAAAAATTTAACCCCCGCAAAAGACGCAAGCAACTTAAACTTAAAATCAGCAAAAAAGTACGAAACATTTAAAAATTAAAGTTTTAATTTTCTTTTATGATAGTCGTAGAAAAAACAGTTCATTCAATGGGCTTTTAGGAGTCTTAATAGCCCATTTATAAATGGTAGTTGTCTTAATTTAAAACATTCCCACTATGACATTTCCTTTTTTTATGTCATTATGCTTATGCTTATGTCTTAATGGTCATTATTAAATAATTGGTCGTTTTAAATTTTATTGCTTGAAAACAATTCCTAAAACATTAACTTATCTATTTTGATTTAAAATTGGGTAGCTTATATACCAATTTTATTAAAAAAGATAAGTAATGAAAGTACTTGTTATTGTTGATTAATACTTAAATAGATTAGCAGAACAATACATTTTATTTTTAATTAAAACACCTATATGGAAATTAAAAAAAAATATAACGTCTGTATCAACTATATAGATTTCTCTAAAATATGCATACAATTCACACCATTTAAATTATTTTTTGTAAATAGAAAATGTTTTTGCAAATAAATAGATATCTATAACTTATAGACTACAAGGTATATTGAATTTTTAGTATACGAAGGGCTATAGGACTATAGTCCTACATTACACTTAATGCGCAATATGAGTTTTTGACTCTCATGTTAATTTCGAGGTTAATTCATTATTCATTTTAGGGTAACGAAATCTACAAGACCGTTTTTGTCGCATTTTTTCAAGGCGACCAACTGAAAACAAGAATAAAGAAAGTTTGTGCTGGTTTCCATGCATCTCTTTATCCTTGCCCACATACTCAGCAGGAACGCGATGAAATGCTCAAAGGAGTCAGGACACGTCTGGAGGATCTTAACCTGGTAAAAAACTAATGCACACAATTTTTAAGTTAGTTACCTATTGACTAAATTTTTATTGTTATATAATATAACAAAATATAAATATGACCAAAAGTTATCAACTTAAGTTAATACTTAATACATAGACACAGCGTTGCCGAATGTCTATGTTTTATGCTTAAATGGTAAAAGATGGTTGATAATAATTATCAACCATCTTTATAATTGATTTTAATATTTTTTTTACTTAACTCTTTCCCATATTTAAAAAATTCCACTCTTAACAAATCTAACTAAACAAATTAAATTTTTTTAAGGTACTTAATCAAACCAGAGATCACCGTCAAAGAGTCTTGGTGACTGTGGCAAAAGAGCTTCAAAACTGGAGCATAATGGTTAGCAAAATGAAAGCAATTTACCACACTTTAAACTTCTTCAACATGGACGTAACCAAAAAGTGCCTTATCGGTGAATGCTGGGTACCAGCCGAGGACATTCCAATTGTACAGAAAGCTTTATCCGATGGATCTGTAAGTTTTTGAATTTTATGGGAAGTCATTTCTTATTGCTAAGGATTTTTTCTTATTGGTAACGACTAAAAAATAACGTCCACATAATATGTGGCCGTTATATTCGTTGTACCTATAACTTTGAACGTTGGTCTCGCAGATTTTTAAGTGGTTTACCCCTCGCGAAAATGTAGTATTCTAAAGAAGTCACTGTGTGACGAAACAATAGTCAAAAATTAAATAAATCACGTGAAACTTTCAAAAAACATAGTTGTTTTTATATCTACATAATAAGAAGTATTTTTTTGTTTTAGAGCGCTTGTGGCAGTTCTATTCCATCATTTTTGAATATCATTGATACCAACGAGAACCCACCAACATTTAACAGAACCAATAAGTTCACAAGAGGCTTCCAAAATTTGATTGACGCCTATGGGGTGGCTTCCTATAGAGAGGCTAATCCAGGTAATTACTATTTTTTTTTAATATTTAAATTTCCACATAATATATTATATAGGTGATTCTACAAAAGTTGGGCAACTTTTGACCTCATTTTGTTTATATAGTTTTCGGAGAAAATTAAACAGTATTTTGTTATGAGAACATAGATAATATAATAAATATACTGTTCCAGACCGGGCCAGTCACTTTTTCAAACAGTTTCTGAAATATCTGTGTTTTCTAAATTTGAATGCAAGGGAAGTGACGAGTTTACCAGGGTACTAATTAAACACATAATTTATTAGAAAATATAAGATTTATTGCAATTTTAAGCATATTATACATTAAATATCTTAAAATCAAATAATACCACACATCAGTGGCGGCTGGTGGATTTTGGGTATACCGATATCTCAATTATTAGATATGGGACCCACACCAAATTTATATGAGTTTATAATGACATTAAATAAACAAGTTCTGCGCAAGCAGAATTTCAATTAAAGTTTGCGAAAAAAAGTTAACCGAAACATCGAACATGGAACTGCCGACACAGTACTGATGAATGGGATACAAATTTGAGATTATAATTCGGAATTAAGTATTTTACTGATATATTTTATTACTGGATGCTACTTATCAACAAATCACATATAGCCTTATATAAATTAAAATGAAATATATATACGTAAGAAAATAACTACTCACCACAGTACTGAAATTTTGACTGGAACTATACGTGCATTCACCACAACTTTGCCGCTTGCATTGTTTTCAAGATGATTGTTGTGCAAAGGGCGGGCTCTGTAAGTAATTTTTTACCAACACGTGAGTTAAAACGAGTACTTTATGTTTGAACTTCAATATTTCGCAGGAATTTTGAATTTTAACATTGGACACAGAACTGACGGGTAAAAGTGAGTACAAAGATTATCAATTTTTTAAAAATTGCTATTGTTCGAATCTATGATAAAATATGAAAAATACATTATTTAATGCTTTATAATTTGTAGTGAAATTGAAAAATTTAAGATAAATTGAATATATTTTAAAATAAAATCACTCAAATATTTAATTCAGGAGTCGTAACACGCCAAGGAACTGATGTTTTAAATATTTATTATGTTTTTCTACAAACGTGCTTTTGAAAAAATACATTAAAATTGGGTGGACAAGTTAAAAAAACATGGATCTTTTGTATCTTTTTACAAAAAATATTAAAATACCTACTCTATTGACTTATGACATCAAGTTGTCCAACTTTTGTAGAATCGGCGATTCTGAATCGCCCATATATTAAATATATTATAATGAAATTTTAAGGGATGATTTTTATAAACAAGCTAAGTATCATTATTGTCTATCCTTGGTCGGTTTAGGATATATTTAGGTGGCTTTTTTTGCTTTATTTATCTTTATTTTTATTTTTTCGGAACTAACTTATTTTTTTATATAGGTACCTAAATTAATTTTTTATTATTTTTTTAAGTAATGAATTACTATGCAAAAATTATATCAAACCCAAAAAGTCTTAAGTTTAATTTTGTTTACTTACGAAAATGTATTTTTTAGCTTTGTATACAATTATATCATTTCCATTTTTGTTCGCTGTGATGTTCGGGGACGTTGGCCACGCTCTCATAATGTTAATGTTCGGAATTTGGATGATATCTTCTGAGAAAAAAATCGCCGCACAGAAAGGCAAGAGCGAAATTTTTTCCATCTTTTTCGGCGGCAGGTACATCATACTACTCATGGGATTATTTTCGTTGTACACTGGTTTCATATACAACGATATTTTCTCCAAGTCTATGAACATCTTCGGTTCCGGATGGACTAATTTTTCGAATATTAGAGAAGAAAGCATTACAAACGGCGGGGAAATGACAAGCATTCTGGATATAGACCCCGACTTCCAATACAAAGGGTATCCGTATCCCTTTGGAGTTGATCCTATTTGGCAGGTGAGTCTTCTTTTTGCACAAAATACGAGAGTAAGTGAATAAGTCCTTACAAAACAAAAAAAGAACACATTCTTTTGTTTCGCTCTTAATGCAAAAAAATGGCTAATGTCATAATGGATTAGTAGGGTGGAACATATACAGGGTGACTCATTTAACTTGAAACTTTGAAATATCTCAGTATGCATTTTACGTTTAAAATAAAAATTAAATTAATCGAGGGGGGAAATCAATCATTACTAAAATTGGTCCTCATACTCTTCTCCTTATAGGGGGAACAGGGTGTAACTTTAAAATTTCCACCTAACGCCCTATTTTTTATTGCAGATTCGGATCATTCGACTAAAAATAGGTAGATTTTGTCTAAAACATTTTTTTATATTTGTAATAGAGGGCGCTGTAATGAAAAAAAAAAACAATTTTGTTCGATTTTTCTTCTGTATACGATTGTGCAATATTTTTCTATAAAAATATCACTTTTTTGGTAATAATTATCCTATTAAATTAAATCTGATTTTTTTAATTACCCACGATTTTTTAACTAATATTTAATCCTTGAATTTAAAGGATTATTGTACTATTTTTAATAAAAATGAGTTATAAAGAAACTATTTATACTTTAGCATTATTTAATCAATTTAGTTCGAAGATTAATTTGCAAACAAAAAGACCTCCTTTCGTTAAGCAGTTATTCATAAAGGATTTTTTAACAGTGAAAAAAAAAATAGAAATGATTTTGATTTATGGAGAAGCAGGCAGGAATCTTGATGATGATCTTAATATCTACGCTCAGCGTTTTTCGGATAAAATTCGATCAAGTACTTTTCATTTCACCATACAGTCAAGCAGTTTACTACAAACGGGAGTGTTCAAACGAAAAAAAGAGTTCATCGAGCAACAGTCACAGGTGGAAATAATGAAATTAATGTATTAGCAGCAACGGCCGCTAATCCTCACGCAAGCACACGAGAATTATCTAGAGATTTGGGAATATCCCAGAGCTGAATATTAAAACGAAATACGAATTAATAAATGCATTGAAGACGAAGGCCACCCTTTTGAGCACCTACTTTAATTAAAATTTAAAAAATAAATAAATTTAAAAAATAAAACCAAGTATTTTATTCAAAAATTATTGGCGAATCGTGTACAGAATAAAAATCGAACAAAATTGATTTTTTTTTTCATTACAGCGCCATCTATTACAAATATGAAAACATGTTTTAGACAAAATCTACCTATTTTTAGTCAAATAATCCGAATCTGCAATAAAAAATAGGGTGTTCCATTAGAAATTTTAAAGTTACCCCCTGTTCCCTTTATGGGAGAGTATGAGGACCAATTTTAGTACTGATTGATTTCCTTCCTTGAATCATTTGATTTTTATTTTAAACATTTTTTATTTTATTTTATTTTTTATAAACCTTCACCTATTTTTGTTATTTAAGAGTAGTTTCATTTTTAAATACGCAGAAATAATAAAAAGTATATGGAAAGGTAAACTTTATGTCCTTAGGATGTAACGCGAGTGACTGAATTTTATTTTGTAAAAATAACAATCTAAAAGTATTTTGGTTATTATGATATTAATTTCATTGTTTACGAATAGTACAATTTTTTAAACTAAATTGTTGATATTGGTTAAACTTTTAGAATTAAGTGTTATCATTTTATTGTCAAATAATATACCTAATTGTTACGCGACTTACCATGTAATGTTCCATATGTGCATTTGGAAAATATTTTTGTTCTAATAGCCTGTTAAAAGTTGAATAGCAAAAAGAGTAATGAATACTAAAGGAAATTCTAAAACAAAAGATATTATGTTGCACATGTCACGTCACGTTACTGTCGCAAAAATTTAAATGTGCAACATGAAAAAAATGTTAAAGTTTTTGTTTTTTTAGGATAAACTAATGACAAATAAAAACGTTTAATACACCAGGCAACCTACATAAATTAAAAAAAATTAAACGTTAAAATACATATTTTGTTTAATAATAAGATTATATTTATTTTATTAGTTATTGTAATATGCCTGGCGTGGCAAATACTTATATCAAATATACAACAAAAACGTTATTTTCTTAAAACCATTATTTGTGTAATGACGTCATTTTCCTTTTGCCACTGAAAATATTTTTTTTGCCTTAAACTTTTTTAGTTTATTCTTAACTCAAATACCTAGCAACTTTTGCAACCCAAGGCAATTTAATTTTAATTTTTAATTTTATTTGAACTCTTTTACACCCCCTTTATAGCTAATTTGCCCCATCACATAGCATTGTACAATAAATATTCTTTGCTCGAGAGTACCTAATCATTTTAATTGACTTTAAAGTTTTAATGCAAAGTACACTTGAGTTAAGAAAAAACGCTATATTTGTGGTATTACGAATTATATTATTATTAGTATTACCATTGAGTAAAGTCTTCTTTAGGTCAAGGCTGGTGGATTTTGGCACACCCATATCTCAGTTATTAGACATGGGACCCACATCAAATTTATATGAGTTTATAATGACATTATATAGACAAGTTCTGAGCAAGCAGAATTTAAATTAAAGTTTGCGAAAAAAAGTTAGTTTTTAAGTGTGCCCCCCAGCCTCCTGCCCCCCCAAATTAAGATCATTCAAATTTAAGTGGTACAATTTTTAATTCACTGAAGTTTATCGATAAATTTTAAATTTTATTAAAAAATTTCAAGTATTACAGATTTTATAACATTTATAATTTTTTTAAAATTTAGTAAAAGAAATAATAAAAATTTAAAATGGTATAAAACCTGTAATCCTTGTATTTTTTTAATAAAATTTTAAATTTGTCGATAAACTTCAGTAAATTAAATATTGTACTGCTTTAATTTGAATTATCTTAATCTGGGAGGGGCAGGAGGCTGGGGGGCACACTTAAAAACTAAGTTTTTTTCTCAAACTTCAATTTAAATTCTGCTTGCGCAGAACTTGTCTATATAATGTCATTATAAACTCATATAAATTTGATGTGGGTCCCATATCTAATAACTGAGATATGGGTGTGCCCAAAATACACCAGCCGCCATTGACCGTCAAGCAGGCCGAGACTGCAGAAAATTAAATCCGCACTAATATTTTTGGTATAATTCACCTATTTAAAAGTCAATGTGTATAAAAAAATGCTCAAAGTCAATGTGTATAAAAAAATGCTCCACCCTAACCTACAAGTCCGCAAAATCCTTTATATAGATCAAAGGGTAAATGTGTAAAATTGACAAAACTTTAGGCATCTCAACTGCCTCAAATGCTGTAATCGTGCTATATTAGAGTATCGGTACGGCGGTATATAATAATATTAATTTTCAACTGCGTACAAATCTGAAGTCTTTCTATATAGGCTTATCAGTGTTATAATATAAAAATCTCTATAAGCTTGAAAATAAATGTTAATAATGTACTTTATTTAAAATAAGTGCTAACAGCACATTATTAATAATAAACTTGTCACTTCCCTTTTCAATGACTATGCCAAAAAGCTTGGGGTGCTATGTCGAAATTACCTAAAAGTAATTGCATCTCAAAGAAACGTAACCAAACCTCGTACAACTGTATTAAATAATTAAAATATATTTAATTAAGTTCCTTATTTTATTTTGTGTTCCAGGTCGCCAAAAACAAGATTATCTTTTTAAATTCGTTCAAAATGAAGCTGTCCATCATTATTGGCGTTACTCACATGATTTTTGGTGTCTGCATGAGTACTGTTAACATGGTGTAAGTAAAAAATAAACCTTGTCGAATAAAATTTAATGTGATCATTTTTTCGCAGGCATTTCAAGAAATACTCCAGCTTATTCTTAGAATTCCTGCCCCAAGTAATCCTTCTGATATTCTTGTTCTTCTACATGGTTGTCATGATGTTGATGAAATGGATAAAATACGAATCGAACCACGCACTAGATGACGAACACATTAAAATCGGTTCATCTTGTGCACCATCAGTATTGATTTACTTCATCAACATGATGCTGATGAAAGAAGACGAAAAGAACGGCGAGGAATGTGATGTACATATGTTTGAATTCCAACCTATTCTTCAGAAGATTTTGGTATTCGGATCACTTATCTGCATACCAGTTATGCTGCTAGGAAAACCACTGTACATTCAATTCACCAGAAAACGCAAACCCGAAGACGAAGAGAAACCACAGAAAATCAAAACTAATGGAGATGTTAATCAAGGAATGGAGATGGATGAAGTTACAAAGGAGGAATTGCCTCGTCCTTCAACCGGTGGGCAACATCACGAAGAAGAAGAGGAACCAATGAGTGAAATTTATATTCATCAAGCCATTCATACTATTGAATACGTATTGAGTACAGTATCCCATACTGCTTCCTATCTACGTTTATGGGCTTTATCACTTGCTCATGCCCGTAAGTTAAATTTATATTAATATCGACCAGTCGAGAAAGGGTTTTACTTTACGAAAAAAATCTTTGTAAAGTCCTTCGGAATTTTGTTTATTCGAAAATAAAAAGTATTATCTTTAAACCTTGCTTATGTAGATTTACATAAACAAATTTCTAATGACCAAAATTAACGTTAACAAATACTCTACGAGATAATCGTAATAGTTTGACTAGGCTAATATTTAAAAACCAACTTTTTGTTGTAGAGTTATCTGAGGTATTATGGCAAATGGTGTTACAAAAATCCTTTATCTTGAGCGGGTACATCGGAGCTATTTTCCTTTTCATCATATTTGGCGCTTGGGCTGTTTTAACAGTCGCCATTTTAGTATTGATGGAAGGTCTTTCGGCTTTCTTACATACACTTCGTCTTCATTGGTATGTTAAACATAACTATTGATCATACAAATTTGTAATGTTTTTTTTTAGGGTGGAGTTTATGAGCAAGTTTTACAGTGGTTTGGGTCATTCATTCCAACCATTTTCATTTAAGGTTCTTTTAGATGAAGAAGAAGCAGAAAATTAATTTTGTTGAGCAATAAATTTGTTTTATAGTTTTAATAATTTAGTGTACTATATTTTAATTACAATAAAAGTACCGCAATTACAAACACCTTGCTTTATTTTTTGTAATGTCAAGCAATTTTAGCTTAAAAATGGATGAAGTTTTAAGGAAATAATGTGCTTTGTGGATTGAAGTTGTGGCTACACACTTTATTTTAGGCCTCGTCATAGATCTGCCCATTACGAGGTCTAAAAGTTATAAAAGTCGACAAGACACTTGGTACTTTAAGTTGCAGAGGGCCAATGCTGCAGAAACTTCCTTTATTTAAAACATGATACCCCTGCTGAAAAAGACCGGTAATATCGGATGATTGCGGATAAAACCAAGCTAGTTTTATGTCCATTTATATCTGTTTTCATCCGACATATCGGATTTTACCCTGCATGTCGGTTTTCATCTGCAATTGCGGGTATAAATATTATTTATTTATTTATTTAATACATCATCTTAACAGTCCTTGGACCAATGACAATATTTAGCCTTATACATACAAAATCATATAAAATATACATAACAAAGTTGATCCGCGAACGTCGGGTTTTATCTATTTAGTTCTATGTCTGATTTCGTCTGGTTTCATCCGCAAATACCTATTCATAGGTATTCACTCGGTTTTATCTGCAAAAACCTGCTTTCGTCTGTTTTTACACGGTTTTATCGGCGTTTGCCTTTATTTACTTCTTTGCCTGCTTACGCCCGGTTTCATTCGCGATTATCTGATTTTAACCAGTTTAACTTGCAATCATCTGCAGACGTCTGATTTCATCCGCAAATTGCTAACCACTGGTACATATATGTACCAGTGGTGTACTATAGTACAGGGTGATCCCCTATAATGTCGCCCCCCTTTAACTTTTTTATTTTAAGTGTCCCAAAAAATTTAAAAAAGTGGTTATGTAGGAACTAAAAAATACTTTTTTTCTACGTATAAAGAAAATTGGAAAACTGATCAGTATACAGGGAAAAACAAAAAGTTTATTTTTTTTCAATGGATCACCCTATATTTGAATTTATTTTTAAGTGTTGTTAAATAAGTAAAAATGGCGTACTCAGACAGAGAAAGACAAACTATTTCAACTTATTATCTTAAAATTAATTTAAATATTTCAGAAACGGTTGAATTTAGGTATATGGTATGATATATGAAATATGCTTAGAATTTTACAAGGAATCGAAAAATAAATTCATATATAGGGTGATCCATTGAAAAAAAAATAAACTTTTTGTTTTTCCCTGTATACTGATCAATTTTCCAATTTTCTTTATACGTAGAAAAAAAGTATTTTTTAGTTCCTACATAACCACACTTTTAAATTTTTTGGGACACTTAAAATAAAAAAGTTAAAGGGGGGCGACATTATAGGGGATCACCCTGTACATACCTTGGGTATTTTTTAATTTTAATAAAATAAATAATAAAAATTTAAAATCGAATAAAATCTGTAATATTTGGATTTTTTAAATAAAATTTAAAATTTGTCGATAAATTATAGTAGATAATAAATTGCACCACTTTAATTTGAATTATCTCAAATAGGGGGGCCTGGAGGCGGGTGAGGCAACAGGAAAAACTAACTTTTTTTCGCAAACTTGGTCAAAATCCACACAACAAGGTCTGTTAACAGAATTCTATCTCGTACTAAAAATACAAAAAATCACTGCAACACTGCACAGTTTAACGGCGGCCATTTTTGTTGTTTACAATTTTTGTGCTTTGGGTTTGTGCTCTGTTTATACAGATTACTAATCGTTTTAAACGTTGTGTTTCTTATAGTAGGGGAAGGTGGGGGAATTCTGCGCATCTAAGCAAAATCTCTAGTATCTTTGTTAAGTTTAAATGTGAAATTTTGCAATTAATACCAGCGATAGTCTACTATCTTTACTATGTGTATATAATGCCCAATTTATAAAAAAAATGTTTGGTATGCAAAAACTACATTTTTTTAAATAATGCATTTTCGCAAAATTACCCACCTATCAGGGTAATTTTGCGCATCATAGTGGGAAAATTTGCGCTGTATAGAGAAAGATTTGTAGGTATCTAAATAAACCGTTTATTTCTATAATATTATTATATTAAAACATAAAAATAAAACAAAACTATTTTCTCTGTGAAACAAACAAAACAAACAAAATCAAAAATAAATATCTAAAAATAAAATTTTTGTTCTTAGAAATAAGAGGGTCTACATGCAGCATTTGTCACATATGTGGGGTTTTTTTTCGCTACACTCCGAGTGTGCCCAAGTGGAACTGTTTATGCTGAACAATCTAGGCTCCTGTATACCAATTTAAAGCTCCCATATTGGCCAAATTTTGCAGCGCAAAATTACCCCAATTTTTCAGCGTAAAATTACCCCCATTGCAAGAAAAATATTGTGATACTAAAAAACTTTCCAAAAGTTAACCTGAACAATTTAAACATACACCAGATTACGAGGAAAGATCATATAAAGTTGTGTTATAACATTTAAGCGATTGGACAGAAATTTAAACTTAACTCGTAGCGGAAACGACATGGATTTCTTAGATCAACGTACATGTATCACAGTTAGCTAGTGACCATGGTCACTAGCTAAAAGCTACAAGCTTAATTGCGGTACACTTTAGTCCCCGTATACCCAAAGCAACGTTTCCAAGTTTGCAACATTCAAAAAATGTATTATTTACTTCATATCTGGAAGAATTGTTTATGCGTAAAATTACCCACCGCGCAAAAATCCCCCTCCTTCCCCTAAGCCTTAAAAGAGTCCTTAAAGTGCTAAGAACAACCATTTTACTCCTCTATTGTAAAAAATAAACCTTATTCTATCAGGGCTGTCATAAAACTGTGAAATGTCAATTTTAAGGTTAAATTATAACCGACAAATTAACCTTCAAAGTGTCATTTGACAGCCCTGATAGAATAAGGTATATTTATTATAAAAGAGGAGTAAAATGGTTGTCCTTAGCACTTAAAGGCCTTATTTACAAGTGCCTCTGTAAGAAACACAACGTTTAAAACAATTATTAAACAGCACAAACCCAAAGCACAAGAATTGTAAACAACAAAAATGGCCGCCGTTAAACTCTGTGCAGTGTTGCAGTGATTTTTAGTATTTTTAGCATGATAGAACAGACCTTGTTGTGTGGATTGTGGTGTGGGCCCCATGTCTAATAACTGAGATATTGGTATACATAAAATCCACCAGCCGTGCTAGTAGCACCCATTTTGAACTATAATCTCTAGTTTTTTCATTTTTATGTTCAATATATTTTTTGGAAAAAACCTGATTAATTTTTTTTTTTTTTTAATTTTAACTTAAAGAGAAGTTTTCTGCAATTTGGAATCTTATTACTAAAATTTTTTTATTAAGTTAAATTGACTATTTGGCACACGAATAATACAAAAAAAAAACAAAAATACACAGTAAACAAAACAAAAGTTAATATAACAAATTTGTTACGTAGTGTAATCAGGATCCGTGCGAAAAAGAGTCATAAACCAGAGAGATGGTCGGTTTTTGGTGTACGCAAGCTTGCGAAATAAAACAGCTTCTGCTGTTTTGCTGCAAAATCAACTTCAAGAGGTTAGAATTGTTAATGTTAGCGAATGGGCCGTTAGAAAAAGGCTAATGGATTGTCTTGTAGAAGGATGGCTACAGGGCCACCATTGCACCGCCGGCATCGAATTGCAAGATTGGCTTCTGCCCAAAATCACTTTAAGATGAGTCGCGTTTTTGCCGGCGTGTATGGAGAAGACCCAGAGAAAGATATGCATCTCAAGCACGCGCGAGTTGGTCTTCAAACTGAATGGGTTCCTGACAGCTCCCAGGTACATTACAGAAACTGGAGGATCATGTAATGCCAGCACTCAGTCTAAAACCTAAATCCCATAGAACATGTTTGGGATGAGTTGGGACGACGTATCCGAAAGCATACACCATCTCCAAGAATTGCCCAGGAGTTAAGGCGGCTGGTGGATTTTGGGTATACCGATATCTCAATTATTAGATATGGGACCCTCACCAAATTTATATGAGTTTATAATGACATTAAATAAATAATTTCTGCGCAAGCAGAATTTAAATTGAAGTTTGCGAAAAAAATATAACTTTTTGCTCGGCCGTACCAGCCCCATGGCGCTCCCAAGAAATATAATATAAATTTAATTGTTGCAATTTATTATTTACCATAGTTTATCGACAAATTTTAAATTTTATTTAAAAAATCCTAATCATACAGATTTTATACGCAGCATATAATATTTCCCTCATTATAATATGAACCAATCAAAAGCCTTGAATTTTCGAATAAATTTCGTTTAAATAAGCGAACTATTTAACAGCGATTAAATTTTAGCCTCATTATTGGATTTTTGTTTACGATTTTATGATGTTATTTACAAGTTTTAACAAACATTTTTTTAAAAACAATAAAAAATAAGTTATCTAGTTTACGAAATATCAATTATTACTTATTACATACCTACCTTAAATTAATGAAATTTTCTTTAAAAAAATATTTATAAATTTTGACACATACGTCAGATTTTATGAATTGTCAAATAGTTTCCTTTAATTCGAGAAATAATCTAGACGTATATCACTTAACCTATAAATTTAATTTGTCAAACTATGCTCAGTAAGTTTTTTATTTGATTTTTCTTTTTGGAAAATAGTTTCAAGCAAAATAATTAAAAATAAAACCCCTCGACCGCTACGCGGTCTCGTGATTTTATTAAATTATTTTGCATTCAACATTTTCCAAGAAAAACCAAACAAAAAACTACTGAGCCTAGTTTAACCGATTAAATTCATAGTTCTCGTGATATAATATATGATTATATTTAGACCAGCACCATATTTATGATGCATCACATACTAACCAAAAGTAATTCATTTTTATTTTCTTCAATTTCCATAGCTTCCAAAATTCGTTTTGAAGTATGATCCAAAAGACTTTGCAAATTTACTTGTGTACTTGTTTCGGTAACAACTATTTCATCTGGATAGCGTTCTTTTTTGGCTTCAAGAACTTTGTAATAGGATGGTAAAATGTCAT